TTGCATGATCGCTGCCAACGGCAGGGTGATGAAATTGAATATTTAAATAGCACCTATATATTTGAATGTTGCTCGTGAAATAACATTTATTAATGGCATTGATGTGATACGAAAACTGGAAAAATACATTTTGGATGGTCATTTCCAGGTGACAACAAAATTTATTATAATTGACGTGACTGATCTTTATACAATGATACCTCGAGAAGGTGCATTACATGCATTGATGCGATTTTTAGAAAAGAATTCTCATCATGGAAAAATTGGTACATTATCCATTGATGCTATTATGAGAATGGCTCGTTTAATATTAGATACTAATTGTTTTGCTTATAACAACAAATATTATCAACAAACTCGTGGTGGTGCTATGGGCTCAGCATTTACACAAGTATTGGCTAATATCTATATGTCTGAATGGGAGCAAGATTTAATCAAACATCAAACAGTACACAAAGGAATGTATGGAAGGTTTGTTAAACACTTACTAAATGAAAAAGGTTAACTAAACTAACATATATCTTTCGTAGATACATCGATGATATATTCATGATAACTAACCAAACCATAGATGAAATTAAAACAGAACTCGAAAAAGCTGCCAATAAAGATATTAATATTAAAATTCACTATGAAATTGATACATCAATTAATTTTTTGGATGTTACTATAACAAATGAAAATGGGCAATTAAAAACATCTCTTTATCATAAACCAACTACTGAACCTTATATATTGCCATACACATCCGATCATCCAAGACATATTCATCGTAATATACCATATGCTGTTCTACTACGTGCTGCTCGTATTTGTTCTGACGTACAGGACTTCAATACAGAATGTATTCGTATCGATATGTCCCTATTATTAAATAATTATCCACCAAATTTCATTAGAAATCAATTCAATCGATTCTTCCAAGTAAACAGTGCCATGCCAGTTCTAAATGAATTGAATTCTCAAGCATACAGTCACCTACATGAACAACTATTGTATCAATCGACACGACGTGAAAAGCAACTTCACACAATGACACAAGATCCGATTCGATCACCTACAGTATTGCAACCGAAGATATGGGATCCAAATATCATGTACCCGCATTATCTCTTCGACAGTTCTACATCTACCGCTTTTCGAAAAAGATTTACACAGTGGTGGCGAACTCACTATGCAT